GAAGCTGGTCATGCGTATCTACGCCTCCCATACCAGCGTGATAATCAGCAATTAGCTGGGGACACGGCACTCGATCTAGACCTCCGGTGGCTTTGTCCCGCCGTGTAACCGACGTTGGGATAGTTGAGCAGCCAATTGCTATCATGTGTACCGGTGAAGAGTCCATCCACGCCACTGCCACAAGTTCTGGGTGGTCAACGTCTTGGGCAATTCTGTATGTACCGCGCGGCATGTAAGCTGGACGCTTTTTTTGCTTGAATTCGAGAGATTTCGGCCAGCCAAGACGATCATTCCGGTGCGTGCCGACATAGTAGAAGCCCATGTCCCGCAGCTCAAGTGCCAGAGCACACGAAGAGTAGAAGTTATCGGCAATGATAAGCCTCTTGCGTGGTTGACCGTCGAAGGACTTGGCCAAGTTCCTAATGACAGCCTTCTGTGCCACGCCTTTCGCCTGCTTCTTGTCCTTCGCTTTACCCAAGTATACTTCTACTCTGTACAATACAGAATACAGAGAAGAACAATAAGCCGTTAGCCACGTACTCTGTATGATACAGAATACAATAGGAAAAACAGATATCAGCTTATTCTGTACAATACAGACTTGCTTATTCTGTATCCAATTCAAAGCGCTCACCTGGAGCAGTAACCAGTCTCGGCACAGCATGTCATATAGCACTTTGTGCCATATTTGTGAGGCTTGTCCTTGTTATATACTCGAATTGGATTGAACTGGCTGCGGTTTGGAATCGTGCCCTCATCAAAGCTCACACGGGCGCCCAGACGATAGCCACGCCGAAATGTTTTCTCCACTGCTTGGAGAACCGGTCGAACTTTCCACGCTTTATCATGTGCAGCCCCGCCGGTGGAATTGCTAGCAAAATGGAGGTATCTCGTGATGATCCGGAAGCGTTCACGTTTCATGTAGCGGCTGAACGTTCCTCGTGAAAAAGCTCCATCCTCACGGGTCGACCAATGCTTCTCCAACCCGTCTGTGTGACTGCACAATGTCCTGGCAGCAAGAAGCCCAACAACATGCAGTATCTCGTGAGGCTTGATAGGTTTTACGCGTTCCAGCTTGGATGTGATGTCTGCAATGGGTTGGACAGTCCTTGAAGGATCTTTAGCTTGTGCGTCGAGCTGCTTCTTGCGGATCATCTCGGCGACGGCTGGAATGCACTCCACGCGGTATGCGTCACTTTCACTTGCAATGTGCACCCACAGCGCCTTTGGAAGGAAGTAGAAAAACATGCCCAACGGTGACTTCGCGTATGCAGCTGCCGATTTCG